TAGTAGAACTATAAGACAGGTTATATTTAAATAAAATTATTAAATAAATTAATAGCTAATAAGATTAATTTTAATTTATAAATCTAAGTTTATATAGATTTTAAGTATATTTTTAAAATAAATAAATATATTAAAGTAAATAGCAGTTTCTATTTTAAACCAGTTTATTAAAAATATAGAAATTTTTTAATTATTATTTTTTTTCTATCGGTTCCAGTTTAGTTTTATTTTTATTTTTATAAGAATATTAGTTAGCTAAATAATATTTATTATTATATTTATAATGATAAAAAGTTTTTTTTCTTTAATTTCTTTTATTTTAAAAGAATTTAGACAAAAGAAATTTATTATTAAATTATAAAAATCCGGATCTTCTAAAAGTTTTATTTAAATAATATTCTTAGTCTTCTAGATCTTATTTTTTTAGTTTAATATATTCTAATAATAAATAATAATAGATACTATTTTTTTTAAAAGTTCGGTAGTTTTAATATATATTTATAAATATATTAACTAAGTTCTAGTATCAGCTTTAAAAAAAAGATTAATATATATTTATTATTTTATTTAGATTTAAAGTAATACTTTAAAATATTTAAATAAAAATAAAACTTTTTTAGATTTTAATTAATTTATTAATAGGTCTATTTAAGCTGCTTTATAATATTAAATTATAAAATAACTATATTTTAAATAAAAAAAAATCTATTAAATAAAATAATCTTATAATTTCTTAGTATTTTAGCAGTCTTTCGGAGATTTTTTATTAATATATTAGTATTATTTGTATTAATAAATAGAATCTAAATAACTAATTACAGCTAGAATTTTTTAATTCTTTATTTAATACTTTTAAAAAGTTTTTTTAAAAGTATATAATAAATTATAAATCTATTCTATTTTCTGTTATAAACTAAACTAAAAAAAGAAAATAAAGATTTTTTTAAATTTAATTTTTTTTATTTAGAAGATAAGATTAAGCTAGTATAATATTATTATAATTTTATTAAAAATTTAATATTTTTATATTTTATTTATAATACTTAAATCTGTTTTTTTAATTATTTTAACTATTTTAATTGGTAAATAATAATTTATATTTTTTAAATATCTATCTAAATTAGATAGTATGATTTAAAAATAAACAAAGTACCTTAAGATAATTTTAATAAAGATTTATTAAATAATATATTACTTTTTTTAGATAACTAAAAGTAAAAAAAAATTAAAAATTATTAGAAACTATTTAATATAGTAAACACGCTGGTTAGATAAAATAAGTAAAATAATTAAAAATAGTTTTTTATTAATTTTAAAACTAATTTTTAAAAAATCTTCTTTTCTAAAAAATCTTAGAATAATATATTATATAAAAAAAAGAAATAAGTAATATAATAATATAGATATTTAGATTAAAATCTTAATAAATCTATATTAACCCCGAAGCAGCTGCCATAGTAGTAGGTATAGGCTGCTGTAGCAGTAGGTATTGTATAACACTACTTTAAATATTAGCAGTATTAATTTTGAATCTCTGATTGTTTTTGATAGTTTTTAAATAAATTTATAAAGAATTAGATTGCTTAGTAAGATTTAAGATCTTAATCTTATCAGTTTCTGGTATAAAAAGTTTAGATTTTTAATTTTTATTAGTATTCCAGTCTGGAATATAATATAAAGGATTTGCTATTAAATTCTGCTAATCTCTATTAATAAAGATTATTATAGTATTGATAAAAATTAGAAAAGATTAGTTAAAAATTTGATGTTAGTAGTAATAAGTAAATATAAATAAAAAAATTAAAACTGTAGGAATAAGATATTTTAGTTAAATATAGCTTTAAGTTCTTATTTAGCTTTTTTCTATAACTTGGATATGACTAGTAATTACTATTTTTATTTAATATAAAGCTATATAAATTTATATAGTTTGTCTAAATTGGTATTACTGGTTATATCTGATATAACTAATAACTTTTAATATTAAAATATTAGAGTAGCGGATACTTGGAAATAATATATAGTATATTTTATATTCGAGCTCGCTAAATAAGTGGCTTTTAGAAATTACTAATTATAACTAGATTTACTAAGAATTTTTAATATAACTTTTAGTAATATACAGATCTTGCTAAATTTACTATCTGGTAAGATTATATAATTTATAGTATATTTCGTAATATAAGCTTTTTTAGAAACTAACTGGTCTCTTACTAGAAAGGACTGGTAGCCAAAGCCAAAAAAGCCCTATCTGGCGACCTGGCGACGTGCGACCCTTCTTCGCATGGGTGCACAGCCGCAGGCGGCTCCCACGTGTATCGTACTGTACAAAATGTAGACACTTGGTGTAGGGACAGACTGAGTCTTGTACTTATTTGCAAATGGTGAGGGCATCCGCAACACACAAGCGAGATCACGCATCCCCACTTACGTGTAGGTGGTTCTGTGGAGTGCTAATGTCAGAGTAATCAATGCTTAGCGCAATAATGATCACAGTAACTTGAGAGCTTGCAATCCATCTTCAAGAAGCGTTTTATTTCCAGTAACTGTCCTGGAAATTATGTTTCTTCCATTGTTGCGATTGAATCGGATGCATAATGGGTAGTGACTTGGTACCTGCAACAAGCGGGGCAGGATAGGACTGTTTCTCCCATGGTTCGCTTGCTGGTTGCATGCCTTCTCTATGTATCGCTGATTTCCCAGCACCCCACCAGTTGTATCATAGTCTATGACTTGAACCATGGTAACGAGTTCTTAGAACAAAGAATAGAAGAGAAATTATTGAGACAAATAGTTGTGGTGGGATGGCCATAGGGTTCACTGAGCAAACGCAGAGACCAGTTGAACAACCTAAGATGAGCAATGGTATACAATGAAGTGGATCATGCAGCATCAGGACTGAGAAGTATATTTGGAAGTTTTAACCCAGCTAGGTCGGACAGTTCCGTACGATAGGTGCTATGATTCTAAATGTAAGTAGAATATTACAGTGTGCACTGCGCTCGTCAAAGATATAGAGTGCTTCTTAGGAGGGAAGGCCATGCGTTTTCAGGTACAGGCTCCAGGCTCCAGGCTTAAGTTTTTCTTTGCTTTTCTCTTTTTCTTTTTTTTTGTTCATCTGGGACTTTCCGAGGTGAACAAAGTCGTCGACGAGGCCTGGGGTGTATTTGATTTGCCTCCCGGGTCAGTGGAAACCCTGTTAAGCAGCAGCTGGTGGTTGGTTAGGTTTAATAGGGAGTCTCTGCATCATCCCGCTGGTCCAAGGCACCGTGGACCAAACTAGTACCTTCCAGTCCCGATCATGGCAGCCACTCACCGTTCCCGCTCCGATCTTTCGGTGTGAAATTCAGTCCCCATTCGGTGGGATGGAGGCTGTAGCCCCGTACAACGGTGTAGGTAACGGAGTACTACTTCCCCTATACTGTTAATGCACGCGCACACACATTATTCAAATCCAATACTATCAGACCGATAGACCGTGCACCTAAGAGAAAACGTTTGATCGACTTGTTCCGGGGTGAAGAAATCGGCAATGCTTTATCCGGCAATTACCAACAATGACTATTATTGTTCTTGTTGTTCTTGTTGTTATGTTCACCATGCCAGTACTAGTATACGTGCACAGTACAGTACACATCCTTTTCCAGTCAAAAATGGAGAAAAGAAAAGAATGGCAATCGATTGTGGTTGTAGGAGTAGAAATTGGAACAATAATCAGTACGTGGTGGACCAACGTCATCCTCCCGTTTCCACCCTCCCCTCCCCCAGCCACGAGTTCTTTTCCTTTTCCATAATCAATCTCTCCCTCCCAAATTTTCGGACCACCAGCTCTTTTCCAGTTCCTGGCTTAACTGACACTCGTTCTTTGGTTAAGATCTAATCTGCTAAGGCTTGGTTTTATTGCCATCCCATCCCATTTGCCAGGAACAAGTTCTGACAGTAAAAGCTCGAGCGACGGAAGCATATTAGCCCAGCCTTACCTGGTTTTCCCTTTAGTATTTTTATATTGTCTTCTTATTCCGTGTCTTAAATTCTTTTTTTTTCTATTATTTATTATTTTATTTTATCAGTACGACGGGCCGACTACTATTCGTCTTCCTTTGACCGGCCCCGAAGCGTCCGTCTGTGCACTAACCAGATAGGCTTTCCATAAATCCATAAGCACTCTGAAGCCACGCAGTAACTATTTTGGAGCCTTGCAACGCCATCTCCACTGCTGATTATCCCCCCCCTTAAAAAACGGAGGCTTCTTAGCCTGACACACAAGCCGCGCTTGCATAACGCTGTCAAGGAATGTGTCGTCGCTGCGACACTCGAGTCCGAGCACCTACAGCACCGTGCGGGAATCATTCACTTCTTGTGTCTCTTTGATCTACCTCAAAACACAGCGTCTTCGAAATTACTCATCGGACGAGCTAGTCTTTGTTTCTTCCCCGACTTCTCTTTGCCAATCTTCGAACCGTCCTCGTCGTTGGTTTCAGTTCTTGTTCGCTCGCTCGGGTTCCCCTTGGTACACCCACCCACCGCCCTCTTCAGCACCGCTCAGACACACACAAACCAACGGTCTTAGGCGAGCGTGGATTTTCCTCAGCGGCCACCACGGGTTTCCCTCAAGTGCAGCAGTGTGGATCGGGTCCCCGACCATTATAGTTGCAGGGGAGAAGAGGAATAACTGGAGGGGTATCAGCGTCTAATATGAGGGGCGATACAGCTAGGTATGTGTGGTGACGGACAACTTTCTTTCCACCCTTTCGCGCGGTTTGCCTTGCTGGTCAATGTCGCTTCTCTCTTTATGTCTTCATCTCGGCCTCCCTGCTGCGCATCTTATCCCCGGTGGGAACGCGTTGCTTTGTCGTATCGCCGCATCGCCGCATCTATCGCTTCTCGTGTGACAATGACACCGTTCTCTATCTCTTTCAGCATTATCCGTCGAACAAAGCTTCTCCTATCCTCGGTTCCACTAACGATCATGCAATTCCATTTTAGATCCAATTGCTCAATCTGACTTCCAAGCACCATCTCGGCTTACTCCTCGTGTTTTCAGCTAGCTCCATAATTTAGGAGAGATTGGCGAAGGCTGGTTCCCTTCCGATCCTTTCAACGCGACAACCTCAGCCTACCCATTCTATAAACCCGAACCATCAATACCGCCCATTCGTGAAGAGGGAAAAGCAAGGAGACATATGTTTGTATCGCCGGACGGTGGTTAGCACTACCCAAACAAGTAAGCGAGCCCTGGAATTCCGCTTGCGATCAGTGGGTTGGCGCCTCAAATAGATCCCATATCCTAATATCAGAGTAAGTTGCTGACATAGGTACCTTGCAGTTAGGTCGTTTTCTTCCTCGAGACACCGCCTTTCCATCATCCTTTGGTGATTCCATCTTCACAATCGATCGATAGAATATACTCGATACCCCTCACTCGAGCACGCATCTAGCTCGTGACAAACAACTAAAATGCCGTCGAGGCAGTCCACTGTTCCCAATTTAGATCTTAGCCCTTCCACCCTGCAGGGAAATGCGAAGATCTCGTCTCCACTGACGCCCGGCGCCCAAAGCTCCGACGGACCGAGTCCCCTGACACCCCATTCTCCCAAGTCTTCATCGAGTTCGCCATTTTTCAAGGGGGCAACAATAAGACCTGTAACACAAGAGTCCAATAACCACAACAACCACAGCAGCCCTACGTCTACCGGTCCTGCTACTGCGGAACCCGCTACCCCAGGCCTTACAGCCATTCCTCAGTATCCTCCCTCTCCGAGGGATTCTCCCAAGCACTCCCGGGACCCATCCCGCTCCTTCTTCGCCAATCTCAAGGCGCCCAAGGTGTCGCATAGGGCTCAGAGGTCAGACGGTTCTGGTGATTCAGGGAGTAACCCAAAGAGCCGTGGCAGTTCTAGGGATCGCAAAACACACATCTCAACAAAGCAATACGAATCGACGCCTGACCTGCCGGGCACCCTTGAGCGCGCAGCCCAACAAGAACGTGTGTACAAATCCAATGCGCTTAGCTTTTATGAATATAGCTGACAATCAATCCTTAGGTGGCAATCACCCAGAGGAGAAGATATCACAGCCGACAGACGCGAAAAAAATACTTGCGGAAGCGGAAGCGGCCAGTGCAGCTCGGAAGAATAAGCCGCGCTTTGCAAATCTACTCTCTCGTTCCCGTTCGATCAGGCTAGACGAGTCTTCTATGAACAGGATAGCGAACAGACGACCGTCCACTAGTCTCATGAGGTTGGAGGAGTGCAGCAAGCGGGAGGCTCACGAGCCCCCCAAAGCATCGCGTCATGATCGTGGGATAAGGACTGCCGGCAACCCCACAGCACGCAGTTACACCTCCGACCGACCTGCGGAATATCATAACGGCTCTGTACGCAGTAATAAAAATTATGGCGCATCCATAGTTCCGTCTGCGTCGCTGAGTCAGGTTTCCGGCGCATCGGCTACACTCTTCAATAATTTGAAGCAGTCCTCCAGTGGTGCAGCAGACCGCATTGGCAAAGCTGGGAAAGGATTCTTCGGGAAAATTACTCGCAGCGGCAGCACCAATGAGCGCGAGTTGTTCAATGACGACAACTACGTCTGTACCGTGATCAACTTGCCTTTAATACAGCAAGCGCGTCGGACCCGGATAGCGAAAAGGCTCGAAGATTGTCGGGATAAGACAGAATTTTGGATGCCTGCTTTGCCCTATCGCTGCATTGAGTGAGTTTGAAAGTGTTCATTGATGATCCTAGCTGCTAACGTGACTTCAGTTACCTCAATTTTAAGGGCTGCGAGGAAGAAGGGCTATATCGTGTGCCAGGTAGCGGCAAGGAAGTGAAACACTGGCAACGGAGATTTGACACAGGCATGCGCACTTAGGCTACATTTGCGGTCTGCTTGGATGCTAACTCATGAAACAGAATACGATATCAACCTCTTTGATGTACCGAATCTGTACGACATTAACACGATTGGGTCAATGTTTAAGGCTTGGCTCCGTGAACTTCCCGATGAACTGTTTCCCAAGGAGACTCAGGCTATGATTGCCGAGAAATGTGAGGGCGCAACAACAGCCCCGCAATTGCTGAAGGACGAGCTCTCCAAATTGCCGCCGTACAACTATTATCTTCTCTTCGCCATAACATGTCACCTCAACCTGCTCCATTCCTACGTGGAGCAAAATAAGATGGACTATCGAAATCTGTGCATCTGTTTCCAGCCTTGTATGAAAATCGATGCTTTCTGTTTCCATTTCCTTGTTTGCGATTGGAAAAACTGCTGGCAAGGTTGCTGGACAGAGAAAGAGTACCTCCAGCTCGAGAAGGACATGGATGAGAAGGAAACTTTCTCTTCCCCCCATGACGGGATGTCCTATTCAATCCAACACTCGTCAATCAATGATGAAAGGGCCGTGTCCTCTGGGAGCAGCCAGCCTGCATTTGAGGAAGAAGCGCCACATCCGGAGACGCCCAAGGTCCGCAAACACAGGCCTAAGAATATCGAGACTGCGCATACTAGGAGCGTTTCCCAGCTTCCTGAACTTGGACCCCCTCTTTCTCCCATTCAAATATGAACGACGCATCTTCTGAAGTTTGGGATGAAGAGGCGAAATTCTCTCCTACACTCTGATTGTTTGACCGACTAGGCTGCGCCAGAAGTCGCACTTTCTCTCTCTGCTTTTGATTTTCGAAGGGATTCAAACCTGTCAATGGCATCATGTGCTGCCTCTCGGACTGGTTCCGCAGGTAATGCATTATGACTAAGGCTATATACTTCGGATCTAGGCGTCTAATCTTCATCAATTTCGCTTTCAACGTCGATACATACATGATTTCCAGCATATGCCCTTCTCTAGTCTTGCCTTGTCCTTCAACTTGCAGTTTGTTTGTCTTTTTTCGCCATCTCAATCATCTTGAGCCTATCTCATACTGCATGCCTGGCGCTTTTGGAGTCGTTTATCATTATACAGTCTTATTGCTCTTTTTGTACAGAGTTTGGAGTATCGTTGGGTCACCTTTTGCTTCATCTTGTTTTTAGCCCTGGTGACATCTTTCTATTACATTTTGGCATGCATGTATCTTTCTTTTTTCCTGGTTTGCCCTATATGGATTCCCCATTACAGCTCCATTGAATGCTTTTTTGACCTAACTTTGGCAGATTTGCCTTTTTTTTCTCACTTTTTCTCTGTATTATTCCTCGTTGCACCTTGAGGATTTGTGTTGCTTTGATCCATTGCTGTAATATAGACCACATCGGCGGGCGGCTGCAAGTTAAATTGAAAGACCTCTTATGAAAAGTTGTCTTGTATTATAGGCCCTCAACGAAACTTCGAATGACTTAAATGGTACTTGAACACTACCAAAGCGTAAATGTAATATTGCTTTTCTGGGCCTACCAATGATAATGTGCATACGTAGGCAAGTTGACATTCAAGACCAGCAGACCAGCGACTCCGACCGAACGCCTTATAAGGAAAGCCCCCGTTAAATTATGCAAATGAGGGATTATCTCCAACAACACAACCACGGCTTCTCAAAACGCGCTTGTCATTCCTGACTGGCTTAACCGCCGCCAGACTTTCTCGACTTGCGCTCATTCGACCGCATCTTCCTCTCATTGCGCCGTATCCTGTCCTTGCGTTCGGCGCGCGAGATTCCACGAATAGAGCTTCCCTTGGCAGCGGCTTCTTCCTCCTTCTTCCAATCCTTCTCGTTCACCTCCACCAACCAATCATCCTCGTTCTTGTTCTTTCCCTTGTAGCCCCAGCGAGGCACCCATTCACCCTTCTCCTCATCGTACACGAGCTTCTTGCGGCGCTCCTTGTCTGCCAAAGCCGCACCAGGCTTGCTGCTGAATTTGCCAATACCCTTCTTGCGTGCGAACAACTCCCATTTGGTCGGCGGCTTGGGCGTCGGCAGGGGCTTGTGACGGGGAAGGGCAGTGGCGGGTGCGGGAAGAGTGAGAAGTACACCCTGTTGTGAAGAGTTGATGGGGCAGGTTGTCAAGAGCTGGTTGAGGAGAGACTGTGTGCCGTCGCGGGCGGTGGCCTTCAGGGTAGTTTCCAGCGGCTCGGAGCGGGAGATTTCGAGGGGATTAGGATCATTGACAAGCAAGTGACCTAGATCGAAAGTGTACGGAGTGGGCTTGGAGACAGTAATAGGACTGAGGCGATGGGATAGTCAGCACATGTACTGTATGTTAATTTTGTCACGTTCCGGGGAGGCGCATTTATAGATCTGACTTACAGTCTTTCCGGCTTCGACTTGGTGGCAGAAGCTGCCTGGGTAGCAGTGGTCGCCATTGGTACTAATTCGGTGACGACACGGCCACTTGTAACTGAATTCACACTCGAATCAAGATTGAGAAAAAAGGACAGTATCTGGACGTCCAAGCGTGCTGGACTAGCGATAGCGCAGGGGAAAAAAAATTAAAGGAAAAAAAAAGACGGGCGGTGAAACCGGGTCCGCTGCTGCTATATTACACCGCCTTCTACAAACAGGCTGCCATTGCACTAATCCCAAAGGGGCCCTTAGAGGAAGTTCCTTAGTGTCGAGGTTCGAAAATGTGCCTCCGAATTTCCAATTCCAACTCCCATTGCCGTTGCGGCGAGTCTCCGGCGCAACCTCCGTTCCTTCTTTCACCACCGCACTCCTCCACTGACCACTTAGACACTGGCCACGGTGCCAGTGCGCCATCCCACTCGCAATGGTATCCTCATTCTGCTGGAGTTGCCTGACGCGGCTCCCAACAGCGTCCCCCCGGCCCATGCTTCCGCCGACCTTGACAGCACAGCGAGTCGCGGCGTTCCACACGTCGAGTCCACTTTTGGCAATGCCTCCGAAGAAGAAGGCACCTGGTCAACAACAGGGTCCGAAGCATCGTACAGCGACGACGTTCAAGATGAAGAAGAGAAAGGTCACTGACAGAGTGCGCCCTCCTCCCGTCGGGGAGCGGAGAGCGCTCCGGAAACGCATTGTCCTCAGCAACCCTAATGCCCTCGAAGTGGCAGACATGCAGGATATCTCTGCAGAAAACATGGTGGACTCTCGGCTTCGTGGATCCATTCTTGGCTTGCCCGTGCCCATGCTGGATCAATTGAGAGCTGTTCAGGCCTTCAAGCCCAAACAAGGCTGGTCTATCTTTCGCCGGCCCGGCACCGTGACGAGACGGGAAACCGTCGAACTTGGACGGTTGATCGATGGTATCTCCGATAAACCTGAGGACAAGAGCAAGGTAGTCAAGAGAATCGTCACTGGGCCCCGAGGTATCGGAAAGACAGTTCACCTCCTTCAGGCCATGTCGATGGCCTTCACCAAGGAATGGGTTGTTGTGACTGTTCCCGAATGTATGCTTGACCCCTCTTGATGTACCATGCCACAAATCACTAACCTAAGGCTTTTAGGTCAGGACTTGGTTTTGGCCAACACTAGCTACGCGCCCCATTCGGAGAAGAACCCCAACGTATATGTTCAAAACCAGGCCACCGCCGCTCTCTTGTCCCGCACTGTGACGGCCAACCAGAAAGTCCTCTCTAAGTTGAAGGTCTCTCGTGAACATCCCGCCCTCAAGTCTCCCCTGAAGCGCGACACGACACTCGAGGCTCTCGCCAACATTGGGATTCAAGACCCTGCCTCCGCCTGGCCCGTCTTCCAAGCCTTGTGGACTGAGCTCACGGCTACATCCCCCGCCCCTGGCTTCGAGAAGGACTTCGCCTCTCGTCCTCCTATGCTCGTCGCCGTCGACGGCTTGGCCCACTGGATGAAGGAGACCAAATACCGCACTGCCAAGTACGAGCTCATTCACGCTCATGACCTTGTTTTCGTCCAGCACTTCCTCTCTCTGCTGAAGCCCGGCAATCAGCAGTCCGTTCTGCCCAACGGTGGTATCCTGCTCTACGCCACCTCCGCCTCCAACAGCCCTAGTATCTACAGTCTTGATGTTGCCCTCGAGCGAGTGGCCGCTCGCCAAAACCGCGTGTATCCTTCCAGCCCGGACTACCCCATGCCCACCGCCTTCAGTCATCCTGACGAGCGTGTGCTTGCTGCGTTTGAGTCTTCCAAGTCCTCTGTTCCCACGGAGGGAACCCTGACGCTTCAGACCCTTGCCGGTATCACTCGCGAAGAAGCCCGGGGCTTCATGGAGTACTTCGCGCGCAGCGGTCTTCTGAGACAGCAGGTTAGTGAAGAATGGGTCAATGAGAAGTGGACTCTGGCTGGTGGCGGTGTGATCGGCGAGCTTGAGAAGCTGGGAAGACGTCTCACAGTGCCTGTCCAGGTTTAAAGATTGTTCAGTGAACGATTAGCAGGGAGGGGAGCTTGAGACGCCCAGTATTCATCGCTCCCTCGAGATACTTACCACTGACATATCTTGTCATACGGAGCGATTTATGTATGTGTATGTTAAGTTTCATGCTGGTTTTCCCTTTTCTGGCCCATCCTCACACCCATCGGCCTGTGATGCTCTGGATAGACCACCAAGTTCTTTTTCCCGTGGGTCGTTGTTGTACGGCTTTCTAAAGATAAACACTGTATTTTATATGATTGGGTTTCATTTGTGTCTGGCTTGATTTTTCTTCTTGTGTGTGCATATAATGGAATTTCGTTTTGACCAAAAAGCATGCTCGCCTTTGCGTGGTGGTTGTTAATTCATACTTGTGTACGGAGCACTTCGTGGCTATTCAAGTTTGTATACTTACATCAGATGAGGAGGAACAGATGACGACACAACCTATAAGTTAACAGAACAAATACAGCAAAACATCATCGGCAACAGTGCGGTAGCAAACCAAAGAAAGGGTACAGCACACGGTGGTCAAGACATGCTGAGATGAATACACGAGGAGACCAGTTCATACATTCGATGGCTATAATTTGAGCGTGGCCTGATAACGACAGTTCTTGACCGATATGTTCGACTCGCGCTCACTGAGTAGCTCCCTGGATAGTCCCTCCCTGCGCTCCTTGGGCCCCGGAAGGATCTTCAAGGTTGCTGTTTGCCCAAAGCAGTTCCACCCTGAGCAGTTCCAACCTCCGTCAACCGGACTCGTCTTCAGAAGGATCGTCTTCAGAAGAATTGTGCGGCCGGGGCCGAGAAGACTTAATCCGCGCTTTTGACGGCCCTGTAGGAACATGGGGGTCGGGTGACGCAGGACCGCCGGGTGCGGCATGTGTTGGCCCAGGGCAGCTACATGGCTTACCCAGCACACGCTGTAGGACAGAATCTCTCTCGTCTCTGTCTCGATCGGAAGTATAAGAGATGCGGATCTCCTCCTCGGCCTTGATCGTTTTAGACGCCCATACGAGCAATCGATTGGGGATCTCCGTGTCATATCCCCATTGCGCATTGCTGTTGTCCTTGCACGCATGATCGAAGAAGCTGAATCCCGGAAACAGGTATAAAAACCGACAGGTGGGGTCATACTTCTCGTACTTTTCGTCACCCCATCCCTTTTGTTGACTGGGTCTTGGGAACCCCCAGCCCTTCTTGATCTTGTCGTTTCGGTTGATCTTGACGCGTAGGCCCTGATCCCAAGGTACGGCGTTCACCAGGAGTTTCTGTAGAATTCGCTGGATCACCCAGGTATCGAAATTGAGGTCCCGGAATACGTCGACGCCCAGGGTCATCAGGATGTCAATGGGGACCTGGATGTTGGCGGCGAATGTAAAGGGGAAGCTCTGGTTGGCCCAGTCCGCGCGGCCTTCGAGGGCGAAGAGCTCGTCGATCTCGTGTGCGTGAAGAGTCGCGTTTGTCTTCCGTCTGAGAAGGGTTATGTCGAGGACTTCCCGGAGCAGGAGGCTTAACACGGTGCCATGCATCTCGTTGGAATGTGAGAGCCACGTTTCTTTATCCTTGAATCTGTAGACGACAGGTCGCATGGCGTCGTGAAGCCATTCCCAATCCTTCCCACATGCACGGAAGTGGTATCGTCTCCGAGCGTTCTCAGCGCAGGTTTCGTCGCCGTCTTCTCCTCGAGCAGGGCAGAATATAATAGGTGGGTCACTGTCGATACAGCCGCATGCTTCTCTGGTGGTTTTGTTTTTCGGGTTAGCCCTTCTCGCCTGGCTGAGCTCATCTCTCTGCCTACGCTGCTCATTGGAAGTGATCACTCTTCGGCAGTTATCACAATCGAGTATCCTCGCGGGGACGTGGTCTTGGGGAAGTGGCGGTCGTTTGACGGCAAGGTGGCCCCGGGCTGAAGGTATTTCGACCCAGATGAGTTCATCTTTGGCGATGTCTTCGGTCGCCAAGATCATATACCTTTGCTCTCTTTCCATCGCGATCCTGCACTTCTTCCAGGGGAGGCTGGCATTCTTGGTGACGAATAACTCGTTTGCCTTTTCCGCAAAGCCTTCCCCTTCGCCGGTCTTGGGCAATCTCACCGTATCATCTGCTTCGTAGGGATAGGGTCTGTCTCCATAACTCCACCCACCACGTCGCTCGTGATACAGGGTATTGCGAGCGTAGTCCTTGGTCAGCGTCCAATTGCACGTCGAAGATTCTTTAATCTTTTTGAAAACCTCAGGGCGCCGTTTGGACGGTAGCGTATCGCGATCATTCATGATAACCTTGTCCACAAGGTCCTGCTCGAAGTGCGGTTGATCATTCCACCCTCGAAGAGCCATGAGACTGAGACTGATAATGTTCTGAAGTGCCTTGCGCATGGTTGGAATAAAGTAGTTGATTCCATTGCCACGGCGCCGCAAGCGAATCTCATCTTGCACTCCGCCGACCTCAATGTGCTGCTCAATCGCATGCCAGACCAGAGTATAAAGGCCAGGTTGGATGTTTCGTCTTAAAGGATTGACTAACACCTCAAGTAGGAGCTGGGCTCGATATGCGTCCCCAATGGCAAGGTCAACCATGGCGTGTCGGTAGTGGCAATAAGCTCGACCCATCCAGTACACAGGGTTGTATGGGCTTCGGAGGATGGCGCAAGTGTACAGGTCAACTGTACGTGCTGTCTCATCCTCTGAGATGTTGATCGCGAACAGGCGACTGATGTCTGTCCTTTCAACTCCCCAACGGGAGAGGTCACTGCGCCGCAGGGCCCGATAACACTCCGGCCCTGCTGTCTGGTATGCTTCAAGACGCTGGCGCAGTACAGCGACTGTACCCTTGGGATCGAGACCCCTCTCAACAAGAGCCTCTTTGAGTTGGTCAGATTTCATGGACTGGGTCGCCTTGGGTTCAAAGAATGTCCACCGGATAATCTCGTCATCGTCCTGGGACCTTTCGTCCTTTGGGAAGATGTCATGGAACTGCCACGAGTGATTCGTCCATGCTGTCCCCTGATCATTGGGGTTAACCGGGGCGAGATGTTGACGCATCAGGTCATTGTAAATGTTACGTGCTAGGGCATGCATCTGGTCCGCAGCTCTCTCCTCGTCATCGACTGGGCGCAAGAATGGCCTCTCCCCTGCAGTATTGTGGTCTGCTTGAATCGCCGAGTCTGCGCGAAACCAGAAGCGGTGGGCAATACGAGCATCCTTCTGATTCACATGCGGTCCCCATTCGACCTCATCGTACAAGTTGGGCCTCGGGGGCAGCGGCAGCGGCAGTATCGCGTTATCAGGGGGACGCTGCAGATGATAATCAGGAGGGATTTTGTTGTCCGACATGGTGCAATTGCTGGTTCTCTCCCAGGTACTGTGCTCGAGAGATGATAAGAGTCTTCTGGAAATAAAATTTCGGGTTGATAGAAGAGAACTCCGCGTTTGCTCCAACGCTTGTTGGGTGTGTTGATCTTTTTAGACATGGTGGTACTGGCAGGGCTACGACTCCGCGCGACTTCAAGCAACAAAGAACGCAAAGGGCACAAAGGAAGACAGAGCATGTAAACTGCGGGGAATGAGCTCGTAAGGCTCACCAGCCACTAATGATTTGGAAGTGGTCCATGTTTAAGAAAATGTCCCTCCGAGACAGCATCGCGCGCATAAACAAAGGACGGAAAAGAACCTTGGAATCTCTGTCTCTGCCCGTTCTCATATTTCAGGTGGTCCTTAAACTCTCGGGCAATGAAGGTGTGCGCTCAGCCTGAGCTGTCTATCATGTAAGAACGAGGCGAAATAAAGTGGTATGCTTTTCGTTCGCATTATCCGAAGGCTTGAAAAGGAGAAAAGTAGAAGAAGAGGGTAGTGGATGGAGAATAAGTGAAGTCGGCACGGTATTGTAGTAGGCGTAGTAGGTATTGCAGTGGGTGTTCGGCACCGCCTCGCTCGGCTCTCCTTCCGACTCTTCTTCTCCCCCTCCCCCATCCATACGCCGAAGGGTTCGATAAATAATACCAAGACCGCAGATAATCTAGGTCACCCGGGAAAGGGGGTACAGTATAGCTCAGCTTGCTTCCTGTTAGGTTGATCTTGTGCCACCCAAAGTCAGCAGGACAATCATCCATCCATCCATCTGTTTCTTCTGTTCCTCGTGCTTCTCTTAGATCAGCCAGCCACTTCTCTTCTTCCCGCTCTGTCATTCTTTTTCACCTCACTGTTCTCGAGGAAGAGGATCTACTTCGCGCAAGGCAAACTTCTCTGTTGAAAACACAAAATTGATTAAGGAGATGTACGGGTCGAATACAGGGCCTTCACAACCAGAATGGCGCCTCACGTCGGCCACTACTACTCCAAGTACTGCGACGTCGCACAATCCCCCGCAGCCGTCATGGCAGGCAAACCCCCCTCTTCCGGCTCGCCCAACACCTAATCATGGTGGATCGCGACCGAATGCCAGTTCTCCTGTGGTGAAGAACGCGGGCGCAAATGTCTCTCCAACCTCCAATATGGCAGGAATGGACCCAACTTCATGGGGAGTGAAATACAACAGGCAGCAGTTTCAGGCCCCGAGCCCCCCACCACTCCCGGTAAGTGTACTAGAGTACCAGTACACTGTATACACATACACCTGGCAGTATTACCAGAATTTGGGGGCTTTCGTAACTGACAAACTCCCCAGCCGCGACCTCCAAGCACGACACAGTCCCAATCTATCCAGACGAATTCTTCCGCCGGTGGCTCGTTGGATGTCAAAAGGCCTTCGTCGGCAACTCCAGTGCAGGCAGCTCAAGATGCATCGAATCCATATCCGCAATGGAGCGCGCCTCCATTTGCATCCCATCAACAGACTGATTTCGCACCAACACAGGCCTCGCCACCACCTCCTATTCCTTTCGGCTACCAGGGCGTTGTTTCTCACTCCGGCGGCCAAACGCAGAATCATTTACAACCTCCACCATATTCTAGCGCCGTCTTCAATCAACCTCATGATTCTCCCGTACAGCAGCCCAGCCCACCAGCACCAATTCAAGCCCATCTCGTAGGGCTTCCAGTGTCTGATTCAGGACTGCCTCCACTTACAAGTCCACAGCAACCACATTCGTCACATGTCATTGGACATCCAGAAACCCAGTCTCCGTGGGTTCATGAAACAACCACTAGCATAGCCCCTGAATTGCTACCTGTCGCCGCGCCTCCGGTACCACCCAAAATCAATCCCACTTCAATTGCTACTAGCGCCTCCGCTCTTAGCCCTGGTACTCCTTCTGCCTGGGAGCATCTATTGCCGACGCCAGGAAATATTGACGACGTTGCGGCCTCAGCTCACAAGCGTGAACACGCAAGCCCAGTGGGCTCGGGACCCCCCTCTCGCTTACCTGGAGCAAATTCAGCACCTCATAACTTCCCTAGTAGTTCCGCGCCACCTATATCGGACTTGCACACAGGGTATACCAACACGCAGTTGGATTTTCATGATTCCCCCGTGAGTGTTGATACAGTACAGGACGATTACAAAACACCCCTCTCGCTTGGCATGAATGCCAGAGTGGATGGTACTGAGTCAATCCATAGCTCCGTCTCTACTTCAGAAACCGTGGAGAGTATTGATGGTGTCATTGAAGCATGGACTCGCCCGCTTAAAACAAGCTCACAGAACCCTGACCTAGACGATGACGCAAAATCAGAACATGCAGCGCGGAAAGAGAGCAAGACTAGTTTGAAAGGGGTCGAAAGTAAGGCCGGTGAAGTGGAAGGAACACATCGGACAGCACTTGCGCCATTGGAACGGCCTGATCCCCTTGATGATCTTGATACCTGGTCCAAATCCTCCTTGGAACGATATGTGGCAATGCTACGGAAGGAGGCGACGGCAGATACCGATTCAGACCGATTTGAGATTTTTACGAGTTTCATGGCCAAAGAGGCGAAGCTACGTGAAGTCTTGTATGGCATTGAGCCTCACTCAAAAAGTGCCAACCAGACAACGACAGGCACTTCTCCTTCAGCATCGGTGGCACCAACTGCTCCTGCAAACAGCAGCGAAACCGATCGTGTGTCCCCTCCTGTGGAATCTGGACTGTGCCCGGTGGAAACTGAGGAATTTTCTGTAGCTACTACTACCGCGGACGAACCAGGAGATGGCAGCTACAGTCCGGGTGGCCGACCCATCCTTAGGCTTCACACACCTGGCCCTGCAAGTGTGAAAAGCTCCCCATCACACGCTGTTGCCCCTTCCGTTGGTGCACAGATGTCATCCCCAAGACCTGCCTTAGTACCGCCTACGATGATTGATCTTGCGGCACATAAGCAGGACCTCTCTCCACTTGCTACCAATCCCCCACAGCCGATTTACGCGCCGTTCCGTTACACGGAGGGTCCTCAGAGAGGCTCAGATGCCCTCGTGTTTGATCGTCCGGCATATCAAGCTTATTCTGCCTTGCGTCAAGCATCTGCTGAAAGCGGGCGGGTGATGTCCAATAGCTTGCTTCCTGCATCAGAAGACCTCTCGTTCCCTGCAGACACACCAAACCAAGCAGGTCAGGACGAAACATTCATCGGTCTCATCAGGGAGAAAAGTATTGCGTACCGAAAAACAGCTTCCCAGAAGTCGTCGACTCTCCCACCACTACCTGCCTCCCTGAGACAAGGCAGACTTCCTGACCCCTTGGACGAACTACGCTCAATCGTGTCATCGTCACTGAGCAAAGAGTCTGTGAGCGGTATTGGAACTACCACGAAAAAGGAGCCCACGGGAATAACCAGTGACTTCACTTACATACACGAGGCGATAAATACCTGGGTTGCTTCGAATAAGTCTCGTAGGGACGCACTGGAGAAGGAACGTGTCCAACGTCAGGAAGAGTCCGAAAGACACATTAATGCCCTTTTCAACGCAAAGGAGATAGGGTATGCTGATATCAATGTCCTCGAGGAGGAATTCCGTCAGAAAGAGGCTCGCTGCCAGCTGGAGGAGGAGAGGCAAGAATTGAACGACTTTATTACGCACGTTTTTGACCCGCTGGATAAACGATTGGAAGAGGAGGTTCTGGCATTGCAAACCGATTATGAAGCCGCTCTCGCCTGGCTTGACGACGGTGACAATACGATCCAGGAAACGGCAAATGGCCATAGTCACGTGTCTAAGACAATGAAGATCGTCAATGAGATCTATCGTGACCTGGAGGCTCGCTATCAGAAGCGCCTCGAGATTGCTTTAGATCGCGAACGTCGACGAAAGAAAGCTGAGAGGCGGCCTCTTGTTTTTATGGGCGACTCGACTGCCCTCAGACGGCTGGATCAAGAATTCGATCAGATGGAGAAGCGCAATAAGCTGGAGGCTACTCGGGAGCGGGATGCTAGAGCCAATCGATTGATGGACTCTTTCGATGATGTTATCATGCATGGTCTAGGAGAAAACCAGAGGATTCTCGATGACATCACTGCAAAGGTATCACGAATCGATGCGGCAAGCCTTCGTTCTTCTCCTCTCCCAGAGAGTGAAATTGTGCAATTACTCAAATCAGTCAATCAGTTCATTGACTGCTTGCGCGAAGACTCCGAGTCCATACTCGAGAATTTCGGTATCGCTGATGCAGTTCTCAACGACGCCGATTATGGTGTATCTGTTGCTGAGGCTCGATGCTCAGACGCCGAGACTGATGTTTTTCGTCAGCTAGAGGCTGAGAAACAGAAAGAAGATAAAAAGATCCAGGATGATCTAGAATCCAAGCTTGAGAGTGTTAGGGAAGGGCCCGCTCAGGTGGCCGCTAGCATCAAGAATCTTCTCCGTTCCCTCGGTCACGATAATGCCTCCGAACAATCGCCTGCTCTATTGCTGGAGCCTGTACAGCCACCGAAGAATGCTCGCTCACCGAGTCCCGGCTCCGCCACCAAGCCTGCCTCTGGCCAGCCTGTGGAAGACAACGAGCATCAAGAGCGACTTCGCAAGGCATTGGAGAATGCGAAGAGGAGAAACGCCGCAAGGAAGGTCACATGAGCATGCGCACAAGCTTGTTGTTTGTAGAATCAGCTTTATCCCAGTACATACATCATCAGTGCTTCTATCTAATATGTAATTAGACGTTCCGTGGACCCTTCCGCTTCTTTCTTTTCATGTTCTCCCATCTTTCTATTGGAGCCGTGGGGATACTCTAGTGTGGCGTTAGCCACATAATTTTAATGCCAATACGAGGACTGCGGCACAGCCAGGGAGAATGATCTTCTGCTGCGAAGTGTGGAGGTTGCAAGCTGAGGCTGTAATGTACTGTATAACTGGAGATGCGCCGCACGCCATGTCGAGTGGCTGCGATGGGGCCCAGCGGCACAGCGCAGCGATGGCACCACAACCACAAAGCTTGAGTGCTTTGTTCGCTTACCGACCTACTCGCCTCTCAGCCTGCCGCGACTGAAACAGTAGATACGTCGACCGCAAACCTTTAGGCGCAGTCTTTGACAGGTTGCTACCAGTGGTGATCTACACCGGCCCACCTTGATATTTGGTCCGCAATACGAGGCACGGAGCGACCCAAGTCTTTTCGCAGCCAGTCGGTGTGGAACTGGAAAAGTATACGTAGTGCCATATTGGTATTTAAGAGCTTCAGGTAACCAATGGCTTCAAGGGAAAACGCTGACTAGCAATATTGACAAGAAGTGTTGAAAATGCTCCGGGCAACTAATTTCAGCTGCGTCGGGATGAATTTCCGCTCATACAGTACCGAGATCCGTCTTCTTCTGCGGCGCAGAATCACCACTTGGAAGGCATGAATCCCGTGGCAATGTTATCTAGTAGGCAAATAGTCATCCAGTTGTGATTATCACTATTGCGGCACTGCAATTGCAGTTTTGTCTACTGAGTGCCAAGCGATAAGGACTGCTCAAGTCCCTGTGATTGTCACTGTGCCAGTTGGATGTCTGCACTGGCAGCAAAGAGTACCCGCTTTCGTCCCTGGTTCGGAGCAAACTCTATATAATGTCAGTTTCGCATGTCCGCTATTGTCCCCACTGCACAGCTACACAGCTACACAGCTGCACATCTGAGAAGTTCGGCTTTTGCCGAAGCACGACTGAGTATTCATGTCTACTCCTACTCGCCAACTTCGAAGATTGTCAATTACCGATGACATGCCAACAGTTCCCCCCAGAAAAGAGATCATCAGAAACCAGGCCGAGGACAGCGATGACAGCGATAGTTCGGATAGTGGGAGCGATTCCAGCGCTGACGAAAGGGCAACCCCGGCAGCACACTCAACTGTACATGGCGAGTCAGGCATTTCTTACGACCTCTCCAGGCTGGATGTCGGTTCCAAGGCCAGAGCTCTGGTGGGATTGACGAGTCACTTCGACGTGGCCCGCTGCCATGAGACGCAGACAGGATACGGGTTCCAGTTGTCAGAGCGGCCTCAGGTTCATCTCGACGCAGGGTCTGTCACTTGCACTTGTCCGACGTACTCGAGTCGATCCAGTGTACCCTGCCAACATATTTATGTCAGTATGACTCTAGTCCACTTGTCGGGGAAGCTCTCCTTTTCTACTACCCTTCGATACTAACCGTCAGAAGTGGCTTCACGATCAGCTTCATGGCCGCCTCTTCTCCCGACCTCCTACCCCCGACATTCCTCTATCCGACCATGACCGCTTACCGAACCTTGAACGCATCAGACAACTGCTCGATTGCAAGATACCTGCCATTGCGCACGAATTTGACTGGCCGTATTCGCGCTTCGAAGCCCACGGGGGGATGAATCGTCAGGAGATGGTCAGGGATATCATGTCGGCCTTTTACAGCGCCATACTGCCCGAGGAGTTCCGTCCGGACCTTGCCGGTGATGACCTGGGGCAGTCGCGCACGCCCGAGCAGTGCGTGGTGCAGGGGGACTTCGAGGCTACCTTGTTCCGGCTAGCGGTCCACGACGATGCAGTTTACGCCAGCCTGCGTAAAGCGATGCCCATCGGGGCTTGCGCGGTGATTTACTTTGACAAGGTCCAGCAGAGACTGCGCAGCTTACTCGCCAACTTCGATCGATACTGTCGGACCGGACAGCTCCCGACGGGAGTCGAAGACTTAACGGCCAGCACTGTGCTGGAGGAGATCCAAGGCCATGTCCACCGAGTCCAGAGGGGTGTTATGGTGCGGGCACCGTACGGCACTGATGGGGCTGCAAAAGCGCTCATTACATTACTGGAAGACATCTGCGGCCGTAATCGGGATCCCTTGGAGGGCAATGACTGGGGTCGGGAGACATTTGACGGCGAGGACGAGGACCAGCGCAATCTCTATCACCAGCTCATTGGCAGGACCCACGAGACTGGAGACTTCTTTGTCCTTGATGTTCTCGAGCAACTTCCCCTCAAAGACCTTCGTCAGTTTGAGAACAAGTTGAAGGGGATCCTGCGCAGGGTGGAGGTAGACCGCGCGCCCAAGGCTTATATCATCCGGCTGGACGCGCTGATCCGTGCTCTGGCATCTACTGACGGAGGTGCTGGTCAGAAAAGGCCGTCTTTAGCTACAACCACCGGCAATAGCAAGCGAGTTCGATGAATTTCGGGCGCTGCTTTTGCCTCTTTCAACAGTTTTTCCACTTTTTTTCTAAAAAGGCTAGATAGCGTTGCACTGGGTGGTTTCTTTCGTTTATACCCTTGCCGCTGGTGACTTTCTATGTTTTTCTGTGCTCAGCATATCATATTTTCATTTATCTCAATCTCAGCCTGGCAGCTTTGCAGCTTATTTCGTGTTTCCTTTGACATCGATCATTCTCGTACATCGGCCGCCTCTGCTTCGTGTACTAGAGTACTACTGATGTCATCGCAGCGGATAGCCCAAAGTTCGTATACTTTGTTTGCGCCCGGTGACACAAAAGTCACGTAGAAGCCATGGTTCCACGCGGGCTTCGACAAGCCTTACTGGGAGGATTGTTGACCTCGTTCCGCTGTCCGGGTAAGCGTACAATAGACGTGTACCGTGGGTTGTGGGCAGCTTACCCATGCAGATATATGAGATCAACTCCTGTCGATTTGCCACAATTCAACCTGATCGATTTTAGGCCAATCCTTGATATCTGTAACGTAGACCTAACTAAACAGTGGTTTTTCAACAGCAAGGCCTGCTGGCCCAATGGTAAGGCGCTTGACTACGAATCAAGAGATTGCAGGTTCGAGCCCTGCGTAGGTCATGACTTTTTGCTTTCCCGGAGTACGGGAAGCATGAGATTCTCTCCCTTCCTGGCCTTTTTGTGTATGTATAGCTTTGAAGAAAGTCGGTTAATGCTTTTTTTAAGCATTTCTCCTGCTGGTCTCGGAGTGTATGTCTTCTGGGAGTATGTCTTGACTCTCTCGTGCGTTTGATCCCAGGCTTCTTAACAGGTGAGTATTGTCCCCGCCAACTCATAATATATTTGGCTTCGACCGCTCAACACTCGGATCTGCTTCGCAACTTAACAATTCGCAAGATTGACGTTGACGATTAAAAGGTTGCCGCCGTGCAATGGAAAATCGTAGGTGGGTTGTTAAGCATACCGGAGCATATGGCAGGATTGAATAGAGGCCAATGGGCTCATTGATCACGCTATCAGTAATGAGGGCGACATGAGTTGACCCGGGCGCCGTTCTACAAGGGCCATCGGCCAGCGGACGATTCCATGGAACAAATTGGCGCTCAATCTTCTGCAGAGGACAAATCGGGAGACGAGCAGAGCAGATAGATGTGGAGAATGGTTGGAGATACTATGTACAGTACAAGTATATTTGTTGGAGAGTGGAGCCGGAGACAGTCTATTCGGAGTAATGGCTACCGATCGATCGCCAGACAAGCGAAGTATGAGTAAACAAGTCAGAAGATCTCGAGCTCCTCATTGCCCCCCCCCCTTGCACACACGCGACGTAATCCTGAAGGAATGTTCCCCCCAAACTTCAATTGTACTGCATATCGCGTGTACTGCGAAGCTCGAGCTTACTCCTCCCACGATTCGAGACTCCCCTCGTCAACTTGCGCCTTCGCTTTACTTCAGGGCTAAGCAGCGCAGTAGATTTCCCCAATCGTCCTGAAGATTACCCCGCAATTTTCGGCAACCCAAGCCTAGCACAACACAATATCACTCCAAGACGCAGTCCCTCCTTGATTGTTAAGGGAAGAAGAAACCAGCCCACCCCCAAACCAATTCAAACCAACGCACCCACCCACCAACCAAGATGTCCAAGCCCATCCTCATCGTGGACTCACACATCCACCTATTCCCCGAATCCCACCTACCGACCTTGGCCTGGCACGGGCCCCAAAACCCACTGGGCGCTCAGCACTCGGTCATCGAGTACCGCCAGGCGACTGCCTCTGCCTCCGCGATCGCGACCAGCCCGAGCGCCGCCCGCGGCGCAGCGCCCTATCTCCGGGGCTTCATCTTCCTAGAGACCGACCGCATCTCCTCGGTGGAGGAAGACTCGGAGAACCGCGGCTGGTCCCACGCGCTGGACGAGGTCTCCCTCCTGACGCGGATCATCGCGGGCGACCCCGTGCCCGGGGAGGGCCATACGGCGGCGGATCGCCATCTGTGTCTTGGGTTGGTGCCGTGGGCGCCGGTGCCCGGGGGTCCCGGGGTGTTGGAGAGGTATATGGGGCTGGTGCGGGAGCGGACGGGGGATGCTCTGTTCCACAAAGTCTGCGGGGTTCGGTATCTGGTTCAGGATAAGCCCGCCGGGGTGATGGTGCAGGCGGGGTTCGTGGAGGGGTTGCGATGGCTGGGGCGACAGGGGCTGGCGTTCGATCTGGGGGTCGATGCGAGGCAAGGCGGGATGTGGCAGTTGAGGGAGGCGGCGGAGATGTTGAGGTTGGTGTTTCGGGATGGGTCGCGCGTGAAGGTCGTTATTAGTGAGTGTTT